CTAATTCCACATAATTCACGCTCCAACCGTGAGCAAAGTTAGCTACTATTGTCCCTTTGGCTATGAGGAAGCTATTCATTGTTGACCCTACAACATTTATGTAACATGGTCAGTGGTCATGCACATTTGTATTCTTTTATACAAAGGGACAAAATTATTGATTGTTGATAATCCTGATCTACAACATATTTCTTCTATATTTTTACATGTCGATAGGTATCATTGACTAACGACTTTTGGTTTGATAAAACGATACTGTAGCACACATTCATGTTATTCATTCTTTATTTTAACTCATTGCTAGACATACACAGTAGTGTTACACAAGTGCTCCCTATAGCTAGTGGGTAAAGGGACATAGCAGTGTTCATTCTCACCATTCCCTTCGATATACACAAGAGTATTCTTCTTTACTACACATACTTATACATTTGAATGAACATATACTCATTCATATTTTGCTCTTTGTTGCAGACAAACACAAACCCATGGATCCAAGCTCATGGAGATTATTCGGAATAAACTGTGGGAGCAGTGGCTTAATAGGCATGGATGTATGAATGTTGCTTGTTTAGTGACGTAAGATATTCGTGCTAGTCAAGCTTGGAGCTGGTGATGTTGCTTGACTTTGTTAGGAAAAGCTAGGTGGTAAAGATGCGGAGGCAAAGTTTGATCCCAAAAGTGCATTGTTTGATGCTAACTAGAAGGCCTAGAATCTCATTAAAAGTCAACCAGAGATGCCATTTGAGTCTTTATCAACAGTTTACAGCTATATTTAATGTATGGATGGCTACACAAGTTTTATAGCATTGGAAACTGTTAAAAAAGATTATACTTTGATTAGGAAAATGAACTAAATCTTAAAACAGAGGTGGCTTTGCCAGTAGTGCTCAAGTACCACCCAAATATGCTATTTTGTATGAACAGAGAGTTACCAAAAATGGGGAGTTCCCAGCAAACCAGTAGTCCTTTGCTAGAGACATTAGACAATTCATAATTTCACTTCAAAAGTTGTCAATAGTGCTCAGATCCACTCAAAACTTGATACCTATCCTCACGCAACCTAGATCTAATTGTTGGTTCATTGGGCTACTTTAGCCCACCAACTAAAAATTACCAAAATGCCATTGCATATATATTTATTGATTTTTCCTTCATTTTTTAGCAGATTTGGCAAATCCAATAGGGGGTTCATGTAGAAAACACCATTTTTCTTCTAAAAAATCCTTCATCTTCAACCTCTCAGCCAATACACCAATATTTCCTAGAAGTTTCCATTTGTCTCATATTTTCTACACTTCCAGCCTTATAGAATACAATCCAGACTTGCAGCACGTCATGGCTGGAGGACTGTACGCTATAGTTTCAAATTTTGGGTTATTTTCTTGAGCAACAAAACAAGCAAACCAGAAATAGGATCAAGTCCTCCATTCCTAAGCCCCCACAATGGTCATCTTTCCTTCTCTCATTAATACTTTCAAGGTTATTTCTTTTGTTTAGCAAGAGTTTGAAGAAGATTATCGTATTTCTAACCATAACATGAGGATTGCTCATTATATAGTAGGAGTATTTGTCAAGAATAGTAGAGGTCACATGTAATACCCAAGGATAATTTTTTTAAGATTTAAAAAAAATTCTTTAAGCCCTTAGAGGGTGTATATGTGATAGGGTTAAACATGGGGTTTAATTATAATGAGGTGAGGAGTTCAAGGACTAACTTGTAAAAATTACTCAAAGACTAGGTTGTAAAAACCCCTTTTTTCAAAAACCTATTTCAAAATTTGTTTAGCGGTTTCCATTTTCTTTAGGATTTGGGATGTCTTCTTCCTCTCGCCAGTAAGGGATCACTACTCAAGGGGTCTAACCATACTAGAGTCAATTTAAGGTAATTTGTCTTCTTAATCTTAAATTTAGATTATTAAAAGAGTGGTGGGGGTGGAATTTAAAAGCTTCTCTCAATATTTTTTTATTAGGCCCTCCTTTATCTCACAAATTCTCACTAGAAGAAAAGGAAAGACACTAATGGGGGCTGCTATTCTCAGGCATAGCTAAAGGTAATTTATTATCCATGGTTGACAAAATATTTAGGAATTTTGGCATGAAGAGAATGGGTAGATGCATGGTTGGTAAGACTGATTGTACTGTAACGAATAGATTTTGGTATCGATATTTAAATGGTGAATTTGGTTGGTGTGGCATGAGGAATTTTCATGGGGGGAATTATTTATTTAGGTGTTTAGTTTCTAATAGTGTGTGTTGGAGTGGTTGGGTTTGAGGAAGGGGATGTTAATGGCATGGATTATAGAATTATTTCATGTAAATGCTTAATAAGTAAAGGATAAATTTTTACTTGGTGATTGAATTATGTTTACTTGATGTTCATTTGGATTTTGAGTAGTTGTGTGGTAATTCCATTGTGAAAGATAGTTATTGAGGTAAGTAGCTATACTCGTTAGTGTTTTTAAAGTAAATTGATATACTTAAATAAGTTTTGTCCAGTTCTAATTTATTTTATTTTAATGATTTTTGCTAAAATGTTTTAATCATGGAATGAGATGATTTGTAGACCAAGCATGATATTTTATTTATGTTTGAGATGAGATTGTGGCCATATGAAGGTAGTTAATTTTTATTTGTTTTCTTCATTTTTTTTTATTTGAAATGGTAACTTTGGAATGATTTTTGTATTGTCCTTGCTATATAATTGACCCTGATAAGGGTTGAGTTGTTTCTATTGTGATAAACTTGGGATTTATGTATTGGGAATTATGAATAGTGATCATGGAATATGGATGGTGTATCATGGATTAAGGATTGATTATCGTGGATTGTGGATTGTAGATTGTTACCTAGCCATAAAGGATGAAAAATGTATTACTAGGTTTTGAGGAAAGAAATATGTTTTCTTTTATTGTTTTATTTTACAATGAAATTTAATTTAAACATTTTTTTTGTGCTTGGTTGTGTTGGATGGGTATACTACTTATTGAGTTCTTAAACTCACATTTTTTCAAATTTCATCTCATTTTAGGTGAAAAAATATGAGCATTGGGATTTGCAATTGGGAACTGAGAGATCGTTAGAATAAATTGGTAGGAATTTAGTTACAGTTCAATTAGAAGATTATTTGGTTTTATGGAATAAGTTAAATATTTTATGTTTTTGACTAAGAGATTTATGCTTGTTATTTGGGGACCTTTTAGTTTTATTATTGGAATAGTTTATAGATCGAGTATGTGTTAAATTTTTATGGATGATTGTATTGATTTTCAAGATAGATAGCCTTACACATTTATGGGGTCACTCCATAAATGCGTGGCATTTGTTATGCCATAACCTTTAAGTTGGGGTGTGACACCACCTCTATTATGCTTACTAATATGTTACAATGTACTTTGTGTAAATGTGCCTATTAAATTGTAATATTTGATCTTTATATACTTTCTATCCTTATTGCTCCTACCATAATGTACATCCCTTTTTTACTATTTTTGGTAGTTGTATAATCATTTCCTGCTCTTAAAACCTCGTCATTACTTCCTGCTCTTAAAACCTCGTCATTACTACTTACCTCTCCTAGCTTGATTGAGGAATTTACACTTTCAAACTTTGCTAAGATACTTGATACTGACCATTTTTGCTAGACAAGGGAAGATGGCTCATGACGCGTAACCTCTTGCATGTGAAATAGGTGTAAGCCAAAAGGACTCTCCTTATCTCCCTTAGGTGGTATTCTAGTTAGCTTTCACATCATCATCACTACTCACTCATTGACCCTCTACCCTCAACAAAGAGTATTCGACATCATAAAGTAAAATTCATGGATAAACAAACTTAGTTTCATAATACAAAACCTCAAGTCTGACATCATAAAGCAAAATTCAATGATGAGTAAAACCAATTTAATGATATAAAATTTCATGTTAAAAATAAGACTATCTGATATTATAAAGCAAAATTTAATTATAAGGCAAACTAGTTCAATAATAAAAAATCTCAAGTAGAGATCTTTTCTTGATGTTGAATTTCTCTAAGCTTGGTCTCTCTTGATCTCCCCCAAAAGCTCCCAAGCATAGTTTTGAATAAATATTTATAGAATTTAAGAAACTTTATTAAAAAAACAAAGACTATAACAAAAATAGAAAATTTAAAACCAACAACCTATTGGTTTAATTAGAAGGAATTTGATTCCTTTTAATTAAGATCTCGAATTCAACTTTTATGAATAAAAAAACAAAGGTTGGGAGATCTTTCCCTCATAAAGGGTCTAATTCAATTCAACGTCAAATTAATTAAAATTTAATGTGACTTTCAGATATGGGAAGGTTAGCACTAAAAAAAAAAAAACGAAAATTTTAAAGCTAAAAATGTATTTAGTGTCGACACCACAATGTTAAGCATCTATATTTACTTCACTCTAAACTTGTTTTTAAAGGCTTAACACATTGTAATGTTTAGGTTTTTTTTATTCAATGCTAACCTCCTAATATCTCGGTTTTTTTTTATCTATACTAACCTTCTAATATCTGGAAGTTATACTAGATTTTGATTAATTTAGAGCTAAATCATATTAGATCCCATAAGAGCGAAACTTTCCTAACATCTATTTATCCATTCACAATACTCAAACTTGAGATTTTATTTAAAAAAAATTAATTTCTTCCCACTCAAATCAACAAATTTTTTGTTGATTGTAACGCATGGTACCAACAACATAAAGCATGTATCGACACTAAACCCATGTTGGATTTCCACTACTAAAAAAAGGGTTATTTTCCAACATGTTTTGAACTGGAAAATACTCAAAATGCGTTGGAAAATTCTTATTTTCCAACAATGTGCACTAGAAAATGTTGATGAAAAAAATTCATACCAAATAATTATTTTTCAGTGCAAAAAAATGCATTTGAAAAGTTTACTAATATTTTTCAGTGTTCATGTCACGCCCCAAAACCCAAATTCGAGGCGCGACAGACGCCGTGCACTCGTGAGACAGGTCCCACGAGTGCACAAGGCTCGGAACTTATCATACTGTACTCTGATACCACCAAAATATGAATATCAAATCTTTAAAATTCTCTCTGATATCATAAATCTCCAAATACACTCTAGCTTACAAATTCACGATTTATTTCTAAAATCTATATCAATCTCGAAATGGCTAGCTTTCTAACTCGTCACTTCCCGTGGTTTCCCCGTCCTCGGTTTCATTTCCTGAAATGGTAAACAAGGAAAACTATGAGATAAACTCAGTAAGTAAATATGGAGTGCCCCTTATTTAAACTTATAGCATGCCACATGTGCAATCACGCAAAACGGATACAATACGGGAACGAAATAGACGTCTCCTCTATAGGTCACGGCCAGTGTTATAAACCTCCCACTGACAGGCTACAGAAATTACTAGTGTTTAACCCCCACTAGTAGGGTTACAGAAACGAACCGGTTCTATCAGTAACATGTCGACATGTGCTAGCGTTTATAAACCTCCTACTAGTGGGCACACGAATACATGACCATATCGGAGACAAAACAGGCAGAAGTTAAGAGAAAAATCACACTTCACAATCACTTTCAAATCATCAGGACAATCAATCAAATTTCAAGTAGGCATGCTCAATTTAATGAAAAGCATAAAAATTTCACTTCAAATCAGTCATGCTCGTGTAAAACGGGTTTAGTCCCGCCACCACTTCAAAAACAAATCAAAACATGCTTATAAAACAGTACGGGCATTACCATAAATTTACTTACCTCACTCGCATAAAACCGAGCACTTAATCTCGATAGTAACTGACAGAATGATCGGGAACCTAATCAAAACACCTCAAAATTAATACCGGATCATCACAAATTCAAACTGAAATCATCAAGATCACTCCTAATCCCGATGCTATTCCTATCAATTTCCACATGATCAAATATCTCCAAATTCGTTCTTATATCACAAACTAATCATTTAAATTCCCGTTAAATGTTGGCCCTCGGGGTGTGAACAGTAACCGGTGAACAGTGCCCCGACGTGAACAGTAACTCCACCCCCACAAATTGGCCAAAACACTAGCTAATCACGGGGTTTTCTCTCCAAAAAATCACAGCAATCAACTCAAGCAATTTACACATGAATTAAGCAACAAAACACACTTAAAATCCCTCTTAATTGCTACCGGAATTTCCCCCATTTTTCTGCAGAATTTCGGACACACAAGGCAGCAAACAAAATGGATAATTTAAGCCTTAAAAGGCTGTCACATACCAGAATTTTCCAGCTA